CCATGTCATGCAGCATCTTTACGCGGCTGTGGGCGTTCACTTTGCCTGCTTCGAGTTCTTTCTCATCCAGTGAACTCAACGTGAGTGTAAAGGAATTGGGTTTGCCGTGTTCAGAGCTCCCAACTGGGTCCGGTTTCGCCCCGACGTGCTGCGCTCGCTCAAGGTAGCACCACTGCTCGTCACGTGAGAACAGTTTACTATGCACAAAGGTCCCCGTCTTCACCGCCACTTGCGTCGTCATCGACGCCTCCTCTTGGAGCAACTCGACAAGATTCGGGTTGTTACCAATGAAACCGGACGGAACGACGTGCACTACGGACCCGTAGATGAAATCCTTACGGTACAGTCCACTCATGACCGAGTTGTGATCGAAGTCGGTCGTTGTGTTCAGCACGTTCACCACTTCTTGCAGGTCACAGCATATTTCTCCAGCAGCCAGTACTTGCTGGGTCGACCGGGTCTTCTCTTCCGGTCCGGCCATCGCGGCTGGCCGCCGCGCGTACGTCGTGAAGGCGCCGTGCGACTTATTTAGAATCCACCTGCAGTTCAAAGCGTTCGAGACTGCGAGGCCACGAAAGTCCATGGTGCGAGCTACGGCTTCTGCACGTGCACACAGCTCGTCGTCATCCACGTGGACTCTCGGCTTGGGTGCAGAGCCGTTGCTGCTGCTTGAGAATGGCGGAATGGAACTCAACAACGACGATGCTGCAGTACTCCGCACCTTGCTCCGAAAGCGGATGCAATGCGGCTCAGAGCCGTAGGCCATGTCGATGCTGGACACACGCTCCAGCATCGGCGTGTCAGTGTACCCAAAGGACGTTGTGTGCGCTTCCGATCGTTAATCGGATTGTGATCAGGCATTCCGAAATAATCATTGTATTGCTGCTTCAATACAATAGTTTACACTTAATTATTGATTTTTACAAATTGGATGACTTTTTCCAATTAGTTATTTTGTATTTACAACAAAGTACTTTATTTTTTCGTAAAATCTAGTTTTTTCGAA